TCTAAGCTTACCAATCTCCACCCAAAACCCCACACCCTTGCTGATTTTTTCAAATCAACAAACACCCGCTCCAGGCCAACTCATAAAATCATCCCCTTTTGCCCCTCAAATCTAAACTCTAACCGGGCCACAATGGAGATATTTGCTGATGACCTGATTAGGAGGAAATGACACAATGTTGCTTATAAGAAATTTGTAAAGAGATATCCAAGAATTTTATATAGAAATATGCAACGAGAAATTCTCTAATTGTAACAGAGGCTTGCCACTTTCGATAGAAGACAATCCGGAAGGGTCAACCATAGGCACAATCCTGATTTTGTCAGATCGAAAGGATGAAAAACAACCACCCAAAAAATTTGATAGGGTGAACTAAAGGTGGATTTACCGGATTTTGATAGTTGCGAGGATCCAAAAGAATTCATTTAGTGACTCCACCTAGTGGAACGTGTCTTTGAATACTAGGATATTCTACTAGACAAAATGGTAAAACTAGCCGCCATTAATTTAAAGAAGTGTTGCTATAGTGGGAAAATTTGAAGCACCTACGTCGCGAGGGGAAAGGGAAAATCACTATTTTGTCCAAGATGAAAAAGGAGATGTAACTCAAGTACACACATGCACATTATATGCAGGATATTTTCTTAAAATTTCATCAGTTACATCAACAACATCGGGCGACTGCCTCACCTTACAGGTGGAGTTTAACCCCATGATCAAGCATCAAGAGTACAATTAGTGGAACAGCTAAAGCCTATTTAACCAGAGGAGGAATCTGTATAGAGTGGAGAAAAGTGGAGACTGTCAGTACTCCCAAATTCATCCCCGCCAGTAAATGCTTCCAGTGTTACAATTTTGGCCATTTGCCAAATAAGAGAACAATTTCTTTCACTAAGTATGGAGTAATTGAAGAAAAGGACAAGATATAGGATAAGATGAAAATTTCAGTGAAGAGTCTCGACTGCTAGCTTACGAGGAAGAGACGCTAGCGACTCGTGTTGAGCCCATGAACGAAACTAGTGATGGATTAATATTGGTGATTCTCGAAAGGGATAGCCCTTGTGGAAGGAATTGTCAGCTTCATCATGATCAACAATTTATCTATGGTGGTCCAACCAGCCATTTATTTCATTCACAAGTTTGTCTCTCTATGAGAATTTTTTTGTCGGCTGCACCCAATCAAATAGGAGTGGTAGAGGTAAATTTCATATTTAATGGCTTGAGAGTTATTTTGTAAGATTCTACATCTATATGTAGTTCTGGCTCAGGTTGTGACAAAATAAAATGACGTGCTTTGGAATGATAACACTTACAAGCTTGATTTGAGATTGTAACATTTTGCTACGTTCAACGTGACCGACGAAACTTCGTACTATGAGGAGACAAAAGCTTCAACAGATGAGGTAGAAGCTCTTCCGGGAAACTGACGCAGATGTTTGGAGCGTCATCCAAAAGCGACGCCCGAACCAAATCGGTTCAGTTCCTGTGAGGGGTTGGTCGGCTCTTTAAGCCAAAGAACTGCTATCCAATTGGATTGGGGTCCACTCCTAGTTATCCTAGGGTTTTTGTTTTTCGTTATGTTTTAAGGTTTTTTTTTCGTGTTTTTGTTCAGGATAGCAGCCGACATCTTTGGTTTTCTTTTGTAGGACTGTATTCAAGGGTGCTTCGGCTGTATCTCGCTCCCGCTGTGGTGATTATTCACATATATCGTTACTCCACATCCCTCCCTTCCTCCCTCCTTTCATTGTTGAGGTTGCCTTCCTTGTTGTAGCCACCCAGAAAACAACTTTATTTGTTGTTTCCTACAGTCACCAACCATCCCCTCTTGTCGGCTTGATTGTGTTTCAGCCGCCGGAATCGCCTCCCCGTAGTCTAGTTGCTGTTCCCAACTTCTAGAACTTACCTTCTAGAGTTAACTGTTGTTCCCAACTCCCATAACCAGTCATCCACTTGCTATTACCTTCCTTGAAAATGTGCATTTCGCTTTACTATGTCAAAAAAGTATAAAAATTATGCAAGTATGCATCTATGGTGTACAAAAAGAGGATCTATCATCTTCAAGTATAGTAGATAGTTCCCTATCATCATCTATTTGTGGAAAAATAAAAGAATCATTAACGACACGCTTAGCACAATAATGAGCGGCACTGTTAACCAATTGCTGTTTCCAACCCCCAGAACCAGCCATCCACCCTGCACTACCTTTCAAAATCTGCGGTCCACCTTGCTGCTGCCCCAAACAGCACACTGCTGTTGATTTTGACCTGCTGACCTGCTGACCTGCTGTCCAGCCGCTTTGCACTTGCTGCCACTTCTAAACCGCTGTCCCAAACCCCTCTTGCTGTTACTACTGCCGCCACCAGCGCTCCGACCAACATTCCAGCCCCTTACCATCCTGCCAACCCTTATAACCAACCACCGCCATCCCTGGATAGACCCCCTAAGTGTGAGCTTGTGTGTGGTGTTATTGCTATTTCTTTTTTTAGTTCGTGTGGTTGTAATTTCCTATTTGAATTCAACAATAATATGTGGTTTTCCTTATTGCTGTTTGGTTAACATTGGTATCAGTGGTTTGCAGTCTGTGTCAAACATTGAAATGTCTAATGGACCGACAAATAGAGTTAATGCATGGGGCATCACAGAGCACAACTCAATACGGAAAGCTGATCTGTAGGGGGCAAACGCACAATTTGGCTATAACATGTGTTGCATGTAGCATGATTGAGTACGATTGCAATGGGCAAACAAGCACAGGAAGGTGACCAAGGCCACGAACAACTATAACTTTGCTTTGAAATTATGTTTAGCTGAAATAGGTTTTGTAGTTAATTCACTACCACTTATAATATTGAGATGATTACAACATGTTGTACAATGATTACAACTCTACTCACTATATACGGAGTGCCTTCTTTCAGTGAAAAATATCTATAGCAGGAATGACTAGTAGGATTAATGTTGATGCCTTTGCACACTTGTTTTATTTTTTCCTTTTCCATAATACTTCTTTTGTTTCATCCCTACACAGTATGGCATTTTTTATGGAGCTCATTATGAATTTTATGAGCCATAATCATGATATATTATTATGTTCTGTTCCTTGGCCATTAGTTGCAGTGTTACGAAGGTTAAATGTGGCCGTTAGAATTGAAATAGTCATTTCCTTTTCCTGTCAAAATGCTGATTGGCATACCAATTTTTTAAGAAAATTCAGAATTGACTTGAGAAAAGGTGAATGTCTTTTATAAATTTTATGAATTGGTCTTTACTGAAAACTCAAATATTTAATCCGATTTATACTATTTTATGTTTTTAAAATATATTTATCAACATATCATGCAGGCTATTTCTCTTTAAGATTGTCACTGGCTGCCATTATAATCATTTAAGATTATATATTTTTTCCCTTTAGCAGTAATTAGAACTAGACCTTGTAGAGATGTAAGAAAAATAGATTATTAGTTAATTATCAGCACCCGGATATGCATTAGTCACCCAAGTTGGCTTTTGTTTGTATGCTTTTGTGTATGGTTTTGGACATTTATATGTGCTGTTTTGTATGTGATACATATGACCGTATTGAAAACAGCTTTTGATGCTTGGATGGTTATTTGCATACACATGCATGAATGCACCTTGGGCATTAATTGTATGTATGAGTTTAAGAGAGTACACATGGATGTATTTTTGGTAAGTTCTTAAGTTTGCAATATGCATCTATATGCTTGTGTACTTTTCTTTGATGTGCAATGTAGTGGTCCTGATGCATGATGCATGCTGGATGATTAATATTATGACCTCATGCAGATGGTCGGTTGCCTGAATGGTTTTGAATTCTTGGTTACAATTGTGGTATATATATGCATGCCTTGAAGCAGTAACACTCTTACTTTGCTAACCTGCTGTCTAAAATGCACGTAGTATTGCAACATTATTGAGAGTTTCAATTGTTACAAGCTGAATTATTGTGCATCCTTTTTCATCGAGGAATGCTATGAAGTTGATGTCTTGGATGAACACACATGAAATTATTAATTGAGTGGGGAAGATATTAATCAAGTTTTGTGTCCATCTAAGTAGGGAATTAGAACCAATTATTTCCTTCGATGTCTGATGCCTGTAAAACTGACAACACCAATGAGACTGAATGGTGCATGAGAAAAACCTTTTTTTTTTTATTGAGCAAATTAGATTAGTAGAGATGTAGAGTGAGATAGGGAGGGAGTGCATTTACACGCATACCCTTTGTAGTAGTTTAGATGTTCTTATTATGCCTTCATCTCTGTAGAAATTATATAGATAAAATTGCCCTTTTTGTCTCAAATGCGCCTTTCCATCGGTTTTGAGAAATCCTCATTCATCCATTTGATGTAGTTCGGCACCTGGGACAAACTGCAATATGGTTGAACAGAGCAGTTCATCTTCTAGAAACTTCAACTGTTTTTGCTGTCCTTTCTTCGTGCTGCACTTTTGAGTTGATGATGTTACTTAAATTCTTTAGAAATTAATGCCCAATTTAAATTCACCTCACAAGGGTTTGTACCTGTTTGCACGTACGTTCCTGCTTTTACCAAAGAAATTTTTAAGTATACTTTACTTTTTCAGACATTTTATATGCTTTTCATCTGGTTCATTTAAACTCATTACGTTTTTTGCTGTTTCATGTAAATCCTTTATGATTTCTATACTTTTGAGGATGCTTGGTTTTCTATTTTATTACTTGAGATCCATGCCCTCTAAGTTGTCGATCTATGTGGTGGTTGGTTGGTAGATTTGATGTCCCTTCTTTATACTTGGATATTTTATTTTTGCTCTGTTCTTTTAATGTAGTTTTACTATTTCACTGTTATATCAATATTTGCCAAATTAGTGATTCCCAACACTTAATTCTATCATTCTCAATATATATCCATTTATTTTTCCATTTACTTCTTTTTGTAGATATAATTAAAACCCTTAAATTTTTGTGTTTGGTATGTGATATTTACTCCTTTTGTCAGGCTGGCGATGCTCTGATACAACTTTACCATAACTTCATTACAGACTTTGAAACAAAGATCAATCTCCTTAAACTTGCACATTTTACTGTTGTGGTTTCTCGTCAATATACTGAAAAAGAGGCCGCTGTCAGCTATCTTGAAGGGGTCATTGAAAAGCTGCACGCTACTAATGATATGCGAATAGAGGAACCTATTCTGTATGTTAAGATGCAAATAGCTGCATTTAAACTTGAAAAGGGAAACCAAAAGGAGTGCAAGAAACTTTTGGAAGAGGGGAGAACCTCGCTTGAAAGCATGACTGATGTTGATCCCTCGGTGCAAGCCAGCTTTTATTGGATTTCATCTCAGTATCATAAGTGCCACCAAGAGTTTGCTGAATTTTACAATAGTGCTCTTCTTTATTTGGCATACACAGAAGTGGATTCTCTTTCAGAAACATTTAAGCTGGTATTTAAAAATTTTTGTTTCGTTTTGTTCTTTTTATGGAACGGGATAGTTTCTAATGAATCTTGTTTCAATAGTAGATTATTAATCATCTATATGCCATAACAGTCGATCCAATCTTAAGGTTTTTGCATGCATAAAATATTGATCTCACGTATAGTAATAGTGCAAAATGGTGTAATAAGCAAATTTGAACATATATTTAGTAAATTTGTTGTTCATGCTGTCAGACAAAGTAGGCATGTATCCAACTACTGGGTTGAGGTTTCTGGATCTTAACAATGGTTATCGGGATTATCTTTTATGTGTATCTTTTATGTGTATCTGTAGATATTGTGACTTACATTTGTCCGCCTTAATGTTTGACAGTTCTACCGAACTGGTGAAATTATTTTATCTTCATTTTTATTTTTTTACATTTATTTTGGACTTTTTTGTTATTGTACATATGTTTTCATTCTTTTTTTGTCCAAGACAACTCATGTTTGATTCTTATATTTTTTGTAAAACATGTTGAGCAGGAAAATTTTTGGTTCTATTTTAATTTGGTTTTATGCTGCCTTTTGTTTTGGAAATAGTTTGAACTAAAAAACATAGTAAGCTCTGTTGCAAGTTCTTGAGGTGTGCCATTTGTGGAGGGCATTCTTTCTAAATCCATTTTATTTTTTTGGCTTCAATAAGTTCTAATGGTTGGTTACAGATTAATTTAAACTTTAAAGATGTGTCAGTGATTGTTTTCATTACTGTTATTCCTAGCATCAATTATTCATCATCACCGTCCTAGTTAGCCTTATCTAGTAATGACTCCCGCTTTATGAATCCTTCATCTTTATTCATCCTTTTTTAGTACTTCATGTCATTTTAACTCTAGTTTATGATTGGGTTTGCTCAGTATTTAACAATCCTATTTTTATTTTCATCATTTTCACCCTATTTTTTCACATAAATTGCATCTCCTCTCCTTTCGATGCATTTTTATTTCTCATTATTACATGCATGAACGCATACTTATTCTTTCTATTTTTTTCAAACATCCATCTCCACCCTTTGATCCATGTCACACTCAATTTGAGTGTTAAAATTCTTTAATTCCCAACACCTGAATTCATGAGGCGTGAACATCTTAATTATAGTTAATGATTAAAATAAAAAAGTCATTTAATGTATAACATTCCCAATCATGCCATACCATCAACATATTATTGAAATGGGCATTGTGAGTGTTAATATTCTCATTTCATCCACATATTGAAGAAATCTATCTATTTATCCCCATATTATTTTTCCAAAAGAAAGAATAAAAAAACTTCCACTATCACATTCAAAATCAGAACTGTCTTATATAGAATCAAAATAAAAAGTATTATCATTCAGTTTTTTCATGTTTCTTTGAACTACTTCTTTTGATGTGCTATATTTTTTCCAAATATCATGTACACTTCTTGTTAACATATGAAACATTTCCAAATACTCTGATATTAAGGTGTGAAAAAATAAACCAGTTAAAACAAAAGAAAAAAAAGTAATTAAGTTTAAAAATAATAAAAATAGTTCTAAAAATAAAAAAAATTAAAAGAAATTGAAAAAACAAATTAAATAATGAAAATAAAAAAGAGCTTTAAAGAAAAAGCACACTAGTTAAGGATAAATAAATAAAAGAAAAATTAGTTAAACAAATCGTGCATGTACTTGCAAAGCTCAACGAGTTGAAATTTTCTTGCAAGCGCATGCTTCTTGAAGTATTCAATCTCTAACTAGCATGTGCCTCCTAATTGCATGTGATACTCTCAACCTGCTCACAGACGCTTATTAGACTTAAACTCTTAAAGTGTATATTTTAAGCAAATTTTAATTTGTGGCATTTGAGTTATGCTTTTTGGGGCATATTGCCTCAAGGAGGATGCCTCAAATAAAGAAATCATAAATCTCGTTCAGGTATAGTGAGATGTGCCTCAAGCTGGGTGCCTCCAGTGCCTTTTTAAACCATGATTCTGAAGTACTTATCTCATTTAGCCAAGTATCTTTATACCTAAACATTATGTAGTTGTTTAATTATATTTTCTTCATGATTTCTACGAATCTTTATTTTTTTTATATTGAAGTTAAAATATCTAAAATATTATGTAATTATTCCATTATTATTGGATGATATTTACTTTACTATGGCATCAACTAATATACTTGGTCTTTGTTCAATTTTTTTTGAATTCCTTGCGTACATCAAAAATACGTCCACACGAATCTCGAGAAAATCCAATGGGTCTTGCTTATGAAGATCAAAGGACTGTGTATCGGGATAGTCGAAAAACGGAAACACAAAACATTGTTTTCTTTGGTCGGAACTTTGAGCCAATCGAATGAAAGCGTAGCAGAATATAGAAATAGAAGACACCCAATTCAAGGGACAGTCGTTTATGACCAGCTCTCTCAGTCGAATCCGGAACTCCCTACAAAGATGATCAAAGGGCACCTCACGAAATGCTTTTCTGATCTTTTGTGAAGGCCCCTTATCAAAGGAGTGCCGCCCGTCAGATTACGTTGATACATCCTCTACCTGACAACCTAAGATCACACTAACGATAGGATGGCCTCAACTCAGGATCCGTTGAGAGGGCCAACCAACTGTTTGTCAGCCGACTAAAGGCTATCAACCGACCGAATGACAAGATTGCCGGTCATTAGAAGCCCCTTCAAGTAGTTATGAATACAAAACAACATTAATGTTAATTATGAATATTAAAGGGTGCCGGATACGGTTACAAATGTGAAAAGTTGTCCGGAGACGGTTACAAATGTGAAAAGTTGTCATACTAACTTTTACGTCTCTATTAAGTTGCACAAATATGTAATTTTACACTAATTGCCCTTGAAATCTATAAATAGAGGGTTATTTCTCCAAGAAAGGACTACTAAATTTACCCTCTCAAAACTTGTGTTATTGTGCACTTTACTTTCTCTCTCTTGTCCGTCCTACGCTCTATAACTTGGGTGTGATCCACTAGACATATTTGGATTCAACACTTTGTATTGTAAAATAATGAACAGTTAACATGTTATATGATTATATTTTTGTCAACCTTGTGGAATTCATGTGTTTTAGATGGAAACTTAAATCAGGATGACAGGGTGAACTGTTACTTTGTCTGCACATGAATGTATTCAGAACATTTTGATTATATTGTTATCATTTGGTTTCAGATCCATGATGGTTTCTTTACATTTAAAGAATGTAAGTTGTTTACTTAATTGGTAATATTTGTTTTGTGAATTCTAATTTTATTTTAATATTTTGCTTGATATCATATTAAACATCATATTAGTTGCTTAAAGAAAAACCTAACCCTGGAACCCTGGGTTGTCGCATTAGCAAGCCCATGAATATTCTGCTTGTACTTTTTTGTGTATGCACGCTTCTCTGTGAACTGAGCTTTAAAGAAACCTTTTTTACTCAAGGCATGGTTATTATTCTCTGTTACTCCCATCATTTACTGCTTTCAGCAAGATTTTCAGTGACAGGTTTTCTTTTCTTTGTT